TGTGGACGGTAACCGGGTAAGGTCTGGAATGTTTGCGTGTGCGCACCTCCACCATTCCATGCTGGCTCACATTATTTTGTTTCGTTGTTTCGGCGTTGTTGCCTGGTTACCTGGATCTTCAAAAAGTAACTAGTTATTTGCTGGCCGAAGATAGTGCCAAGGTCAATGCATTTCGCCGTTGCCGTCACCTTCTCAGTGCTAGAGCCAAGCGAACTTTCTATCTTGCATTTGTCCAATCTACCCTGGAGTACGCGAGCAATGCGTACGTGCACTGCCTGTGACAGACCACCTATAACGCTCTTATTAGCATCGCGAATCGGGCGATCCGCACTGTCTTTGGCTTCCCTCCCTCTGCCTCCATCCAACCCATCTTAGCTAGACAGCACCTAACACCGTTAAATATTCGCTATGCTGCCAACCTCTATTTGTTTCTACATAGATGGATAAATGCTCGTGCTAGTCCCCTACTTTGCCGACTTTACACTCCTCGTGCTGTCTCATCATCCCGCACTGCTAGAATTACCCGTGCTCAGGAATCGCTCGGCCTGGTACTGCCCCATGCCAGATTGTATTTTGGCTATCACTCTGTATCTTATCTTGGAGGTGACCGATGGAACTCCCTCCCTGCCGCGATTCGCACCATATCCCTACCAGCTGCATTTCGCTCCGCTATCTTCACGTGGCTAGGGCACCCTGTAAGAAGACCATAGTTCGGTGGGGACTGCCCTAGTAAAATATGAATAAATAAGACTTTTCCCGTTTGTGTCTTTCCCTCAAACTAGTGAAGAAAATAATAAAAGATGAATAAATTTTACAAGAAGTCGGAGGCGGATAATAATTTAATAACGAAGGTACGTGTTGGGTCGTAAGTATCTACGCAAACACACATCCAGTCAAAATAAGGCACTTGTCAAAGTATCCGAACGTTTTCGGTCCCTTCTCATCAAGGATTCTACAGGGAATGGCTCAGGTTGGAAAGACTAAAACTTATATAGCGTAAAGATATGAGATAACAACACTCGTGACAAGGTGGAAAAAGTATCAAGTTCAGCACGACACAAAAGTCGAAGGAAATAATAATAGCGACAAGAACATAGTGAGCAAATTAAGTTACATTGTTAACACCTCGACGAGGAGTAACACCAAACAATTGTAGCGACAACACATTTTCTTTCTGTACGCAAAGTTCATCGGTGGATCTTCCTCTTCCTGTGAAGATATCACTGCATGCCCGTCCTCCTCCGCGTGTATAGCGCAGGGTTGTTGTTGTTGTTGTTGTGTTTATTTTAATTCGCAAACCAAACGGGCAGATCTGCCCAATGAAAAGGTGGCGAATGCAGATAGAAAGCAGTAATAAATGAAATTGGGGACTGATGTAATTAGGATAGAGGTGGAGAAAAACTAAGCCAGCTGATCATCAAACAGGACCTTTGGTACTCTAGGTACTAAGGCCAGTAAGTGTGTGCGGGATCATGCTGGCGCGGAACTGGCGGAGGGTGGAGATGGCACGTACATCGCTGGGTAATGTGTTCCACAGCTGGGCGCCCCGGAACGCGAGGCAACCCTTGCCGAACCTGGGGGTCCAGCTGAGAACAGCGTGAAAGATGGTGAAAGACCGACACGTAAACCACCGAAATTGACAAAGGATCTGTCTGCGTCGGGAAGGGTTACGCGAAGCCAAGTAAAAATACGGACTGGTGAGGACGCACGTACAACGACAACGGAAGTGACAACAACAACCCCTCGATAGGCACATTGCCTTTGGGTCATTTCATAATAATAATAATAATAATAACAGTCAATATTCGAAAACGTGGTAGACCGCGAAAACGAACCTCAATATCGAACACCGGACAAGTTGGAGTAAGAAGATCAATAGAAATCCGCAATGGAGGAGACGTAGCTGAAAGGACACTGGGCATCGCGCACACAACGGCTAGTGTCAGAAAACGTGGAAGGCCGCGGAAAAGCAAAGAGACGGATAGTGGTGATGCCGCGAAGAGGCGAGATGACGGGACATTGGAGGTGACTACACCCAACGGAGCTAAGAATCGCACTTCGTCCATCAAGCAACATCTGTCAGCCCGTACCAATTGTCGTGAGTTGTACAGTGATAATGTGTTCTCAATATTGTCACGTGGTAGATGTGCGTTGCATCTGGCTGTGTTAGAAGCTTTGTATATCCGTAAGTTAGATCCTGAACTTTGCGTACAGAAAGAAAATGTGTTGTCGCTACAATTGTTTGGTGTTACTCCTCGTCGAGGTGTTAACAATGTAACTTAATTTGCTCACTATGTTCTTGTCGCTATTATTATTTCCTTCGAGTTTTGTGTCGTGCTGACCTTGATACTTTTTCCACCTTGTCACGAGTGTTGTTATCTCATATCTTTACGATATATAAGTTTTAGTCTTTCCAACTTGAGCCATTCCCTGTATAATCCTTGATGAGAAGGGACCGAAAACGTTCGGATACTTTGACAAGTGCCTTATTTTGACTGGATGTGTGTTTGCGTGGATACTTACCACCCAACTCGTACCTTCGTTATTAAAATAATAATAATAATAATAATAATATTAACTGGTTTGAGGGAAAGAGACAAACGGGAAAAGTCTGAAGAAAAAATTGACTGTCACCACCAGGACTCGAACCAGGGACCCTCGCTTGTAGCCAGCGATGCTCTAACCACTGAGCTATGGTGTAGTCGTCATCCCAGCAGAGACCGTTCAACATTTTCTTCAGACTTCGTAACTCACACTAAATAATAATAATTGTAGATTTGCTGTTCACAGTATTTCTCTCTTCTTTCTTTCTTTTTCCTCAGTCTCCCTTATTATATTTTCTTCACATACAACAGCAGTACTCCCCATGGTCTTAAATGACCCGGGATGCTGCATAATACAAACACAAAACCAATAAAGCCACCCCCATTATAATAATAATTTAAAAATTCGACGAGGAGACAATAATTTTAATATGGCAATAAGAAGGACGAGCTGAAGCGACATGTGGACTACTTTATTTAAAACTTTTTCTTCTTACATGTATTTTTCCTTACCCTTTAGGTTGTTTCTTGCATCGTCTCCATCGCTTACATTGTTTTAAATAAAGTAGTCCACATGTCGCTTCAGCTCGTCCTACTTATTGCCATATTAAAATAATAATAATAATATTAGGACAGATTTTTGGTGTACTGATTTCGGTTGTTGTTGTGTCTGACTCTATTCCCAATATCTAATTCTGTGGTTGGTTTTCCAACTCATTGGGTTGTAGTTTCCATCATGAGTTTGATTCCATCGTGAGTTTGATTCCATCGTGAGTTTTGATTCTATTTTCTATTTTTCGTTCCATTTTTGTGCTCATATTTTATTTTCCTGATTTCTTCTCCAGTGTATGTTGTATTGCATTTAATACATTGTGTTAATTTTTGCCCGTAAAAGAGGCTTGCACTTCAAAAAAAAAAAAATAAAATAAATAAATAATAATATTAACTGATTTGAGGGAAAGAGACACACGGAAAAAGTCTGAAGAAAAAATTGACTGTCACCACCAGGACTCGAACCAGGGATCCTCGCTTGTAGCCAGCGATGCTCTAACCACTGAACTATGGTGTAGTCGTCATCCCAGCAGAGGCCGTTCAAAATTTTAATAATAATAATAATAATAATAATAATGTAGAAGGAAAAAGGACGTATGGATACGAGTTAAGAGTAAATCTCCATCACTGTAACATAGGTGTCAGAACGTCGATTGTCTCAGTACTCTGTCAGTTTTGTGCCTAGTTATTGCACTTTCTGACTGTATATAGTATCATGTTACAGTGATGGAGAGTAACTCTTAACTCGTATCCATATGTCCTTTTCTCTTCTACATTTACAGTATTTATGGCTCAACATCCGAGTTTCAAATAATAATAATAATAATAATAATAATAATAATAGCCTTCCGGGACCGGAAGTTTCTGCGAGAGTTTCCACACTGTGCTGGACCACAGCTAGCTAGCTAGCTAGCACTACTGCATGCAGTATACCATGATATACTGGACCTGGCACTGCGTGCCACGATCTGTTTGGTACCATGCATGATGTGTACGCGTTTACGGTGGTCTATCGCATCGCGTATAGTAATAAATGTTGCCAATCAAAGACCAACGCTATAGCCGATACGAATCTGTAGATAACGAATTGGCGATGTGTGTAGATCTACTATGCAGTCATGTAGAACGTCGTATAATGCCATTTTGGCCTCGTAATGCTTTATAATGCTCGTAATGCTCCGGTCGGTGTATAATGCTCGATATAATGCCGGCATTATCCGCCAACACCTAGTGCACTCGATATCTGAACTTCGAAGTTATTGAGGCGAAGGGTTTGATATACTTTTAATACCACTACGAGTCGACCATCATCTGTAATATTTTGTTTCTGACCTCCCATGCCCAATAGAAGCTGAAAATGGGAAAAAGTCAATTTTGTGAAATTTCACCCTAACTAAGCCTGGTTTTCGCAGATTCTGGGCCAATTTTGTCGGATGTTAGTCTCCTTCAAGGGCTTAGTTGGTCGGCCTCGTCTAGGCCGTAGGGCTCTAGCACTGTCTGATAATAGATAGAGTGGTACATGTTGTTTAACACGTGCGTTTAGGTGCTGAAGGGACGAAACTTTTTTATCCAACTTTTTATCCATCTTATATTTTTGTTCATGACTACGTCCAATGTCCGCTTCGCTGATTCTGTGTAGTGCCTTATTTCAGAATTTCGGACAAAATTTCGCGCTCATTAAGAAAGCATATATTTGCCTGCACAAGTCGCTTCACTAGTATTTAAATCAAGGATCATTTTCCACTGTTACGAGATCCCCCCGATAGGCTATGCCTTTGGGAAATCCTTTAAATAATAAATACACAAAAATGATTCTAAAATTATAGCACCATGTAGTCCCTGAATCGGGGTCCTTTGCAGCTTTTAGGTTCTATATGCTCGATTTGCTGTTTTTCTCACTCGCAGGTCCGACCTTTGGTAAAGGAGACCTACAACGGCAACATACCTTTCTATGACTTTACCGCCACGTCATTCATCAGTCGCGACATCGAGAATGGTCAAATCATACGCGCTAAGGTAATAAAGCTGACATATTGGTAACTTATTACCCCTGTACATAGTTAGAGGCAGTATCATACTGCCAATGTTGCGACACTAATCTTTGTGCCAGGCCATGTTATTCTCAGTTCTAGGCCGTACCTGTTTGCGAGGTTGGAAGGGGTGTACACTCTTCCGGAGTACATACATTGTCCATGTATTTGTTGGCCAGATTTGTTCGGTTTCCCAAATGATTGAGCGCAGGTTACGGTTTTGAATCCTTATGCATTGCGTCGCGAAGACCTTCTACCTAGGCAGTTTTCGATTTCTGGGCTTGGAGGCCGGGCCTATATACATTCGATATTGTTGATTGTTGGCCAAACCTGCAACTCTCAGAGCTCAGGCGACGGAGTCTCGGTCTTATCCTCGAAATATTTTTTTACGCGCTGAGGGCGCAGGCGCCCTCGGTTTTTTGACAGGTCCAGGTGTTTTATTATCCTCGAAAATGAATCAAGGGATGTCTTTCGTTTCGCTCTTATCTGAGCTGGGAATACAGTATTTCCCAGAGGGCCAGGCTACGAACAGTGTATAATGTGTGATCTTGTTGCCTTTGATTCTTGAATATACCCAGGTGTGCATCAACCCACTTGCTGAAATCCGGCTTCAAATTAAGACCATAAACCTCAAGAACGGTCTCACCGATGATTTTATAATGGCATTCTGCGATGGCAATTTGCAAGAGGGCCCTGAGTAACTTGTGCTACGCATTATATCTCTCAACTTGCTTTTATTCCAATCGGATGTCTTTAGACTTTGCCTCTCTTCAGGCTACCCTTTATGCAGTACCGCCAAGGGTATTGCAGCTTTTGCTTTAGCCTACGTTTTTTAGTACAGTATTGCGTTTCGCCTCAGAATCGTGCTCTGTTTTTCTCGGGTACCTCGTATTGCTTGCTCGCGTGTTCGATAATACATACTTGTGAAGCTCACACCTAGTCCTTGTCACGATCACTTTGTTGGCTATACATGGATCAACTGTACTTGCCAGCAAAAGCAGACACAATGACTGTACAGGCCTTGAAAAGTTTCTTTGCTAAGCTTAATTCAAACGATATGCTCCACGCGGGAGCGTTGACTGGAAAAGCTAGAAAAAAACACTCACCAGGAAGAAATTGAATGCACTTGAAGTGACTAGTAATACAGGAGACAGTGTCGGAGCTGGACCGAGTGTAGAACACACAACACGTGCAAGCCGCGCATGAGTGAATCACCGTCAGGTTTCTAAAATCGTTGTTGTGTGTCCATTACGATGTTTTAAAAGGTTTGTGAACGGGTCGTTCAAGATTGCATTATGGTTCTGAGTGTACGGAATGTTGTCGACTATGCAAAAACGCTTCAAGTGATGGCCGTGGAAATTTACTTTTCTTCTCATGGGTCGGGGCACGGTAATGCATCAAATCTTCTCAATTGCTTATAAAACAACTAAATATTTCAGATTTGAAGAAGAGGTCAGTGCGATTTCGGCGATACTTGGGGAATTGTGTGTTGCTCCCCACATGGGAGCTGGCGCTTTTCCTGGCGAATTGAATTATCACGTGACTGACTCACGACTGTTTGTTGGTTTGTTTGAAGTTAAAATTTTATATCGCAAACCAAACGAGCATTGATGCCCAATATTATAATGTCGATAGAATAAGAAGCGTGGCTCCATAAATCTGTACTTGAGAAAATGAGAAAACAGTCAATGGCAAGTATAATTATGTACCGGTAAGTACAAGTCAAGTTCAAACGAATTAACAATAACAATCCCACAACCACCACCCCACGCACACACTACATTGTCATATAGCACAACTCAACCATTCGCTACCCTGTTATTGAGCTCTCCTGCTCGTTTAGTCTCGCGAAACCAAATAAAATCAATCAATTAATCAATCAGAGAGAAATAGGAAGATGAGGACCTATGCCAGAGGAAGGAACTATTCGGCCATATTAACCGTAGAAAAAACACTTTCAGCAATATTACTGGGTTGGACGACGAGTGGACGTGGGTTCCTGTGGCAGGGTGTTCCAAAGCTTTGTGTCATCCAGAGCACACAAGACGTCCAACGAACCATCCACTCGGAAACCTGCGAGAAAACACCACTCCCTGCTCAATACACAATGTGTCAAGGAATTCACCCCTGATCAGTTGAGCTTCAGTAGGCTAAGGAAGATTGCGCCTAAAGAGCGTCATTTAGATAGTGCTCTCCAGGCACAAACATCACAATATTATAATACTGCGCGGGCTTGCGAATGAGATGGTCGGGAGGCAAAAACGTTGTGAATAGCCAGCGGTCCTCAGCGCCTGTTCAGCACCTGCATGAGCAACTCTGACTCACGCTGTTATCTGGTGTTCACAAGGTTGTAGTCGCGCTGAAAACGGAGCGTCTCTGTAAGTTTGTATCCCTGGTGATGTTTGTGCCTGGAGAGCACTATAAAAGTGGTGCTCTTCAGGCACAATCTTCCTCAGCCTACTCAAGCTCAATTGATGAGGGGTTAGTTACCCGGAACACTGTGTATTCAGCAGGGAGTGGTGCTTTCTTGCTGCTTTGCCGAGTGGACAGTTCTATGGACTTGTTGCGTGCTCCGGGTGGCAGTCGTGAGTCAGTCAAGTTAGAATTCAAGTTGGCAGTAAAAGCGCGAGCTCCCATGTGGGGCGCAACACCAGTCGATTTCTTTTTGAAAAACCCAATCGGCCAAAGTTAAATGACGGCCAAAAGTTTCATTTCGGGATCGGCCAAAGTTTCTCACCGCAAAAATTTGTTGATTTACAGTATACAACAACCGCGCCCATTATAACACTGGAATCTACCTGATCCTTACATTCCCAGCCCAATAGCAGCACATCCTTAAACATTTGAACGGTATTGCAACACCGTCTAAGGCCTTTATAAATCAAACCGCGACCATAACAATACTGCGATCTAAACCATTCCGCTAATTATTCGACGCACAATGCGACAAAGTCTTGTAAAACAAATCCACAGAAACCAACAGTTTTAGTTCTTTTCTCGCTCACAGGCCTGTACCTTATACACCCATGCAGATATACACCCACACACATACACACCCACATACATGTACACACCCACATACACACCCACATACACACTTGTACTTGTTGCTCACTTCCAAAAATGGTCCCGTGGGTCTCCCCAGGTGAGGGGAGAGAGATTCAAAAGGAATCTGGGAGAGATGACTCAACTGGCTATTAAATCGCCCAACGGCCGACACACCTTAAAATCCCCAAAACTCTGGGTGGACTTGAAAATGATCCCACTTATGGCCTCACCACACCTCAGTACGTGGGTGAGGACAAGGTGCAGAAAAAGTATTGACGGCATCAGGGTACCGGTATCTGTCCCGGGATCCACTGCAGTCACCCCTGCCCCAGTGAAGGTAACACTTGCTACTAGTGTGGGTAGCTAAATCAGACTGGATCTGATTATAATCTTCACTGTCACCGTTGATTACACAAGAGTTAATCTATCCAGAAGCAGTCCATGGTTAACAGGTATGTATACTTCAAATAGAAAGTATGAACCCTGGAGCCAACAATGGTGGCAGGTACAACGTTACACATTCAAGCAACCGAGCCCGTTGGCAACAGACCTAACACAATCAGGCGTACAGTGTACCCTCCAACCCAACTAGCTGGCACACACACACGCGCGCATCCACACACATACACACACACAAATCTCGGGCCAGCGGCTGTTCAATAGTTATCACGTTTGTCCTAGTCTCCGTACCATTGTATTTCATGAAACCGTTCGATCTGGGTATGTGCAAATAGTTAAAAAAGCATACACACTTTCTCTCGTTCTCTCTCCCACATACACATACGTCACACACACACACACCATGTACCATGTAATCTTTGTATACGCCCGTGGCAAGAGAAGCACGCAAATCTGAAAATGCACTGGATGTGCACCCACAGATTTTCTCTTATAGCAACGATAGCGAACAAGATTTGAATGAGACAGATCAAGACTTGTGCCAGATAACTGTCTAATCCACACCACTGGTGAAGCCATGTAAACCGACCACCAATGCACACCTGGTGTACATCACACGGAGTAAATCGGCATAAAACGGCGAAGACAGTTACCTATGCACACCTTCTAACCTTGCTGGGGTAACCAGTATAGACAGCACGCTGCTTTGATAGAAGCAGACACTACATGTACTGGAACCTTGAAGTGAAATTGGAGATACTTTACCAACCAGCCTCGGCTACTGAGTACTGGGAACCCAGAGCCAACAGACATACCATCAACCTCAGCCATGAAAGCCATTATAGTAACGACACACTGGAATGTGGAGCCGAAACTAGTCCAACTTCCAAACGATTTGGCAAGAAGGTTCACACACACACACACACACACACACACGCACACACACACACACACACACACACACACACACACACACATACAGCTGAAGTAAGGAAATAAAGATACGGTTTGCTGGACAAAGCATGGCGCGCAACGTTAATTTCGGGTTTTTTTGTTTTATCAAATTGCACATACCGACGGAAGACGTCGAAACAAAATATATACAAAACAAAAAACAACAAAGCGTATGTAGGCGCTACATCTTGTTTGTTATAGATATTCTTCTAAATGCTAGATGGTTATTTCATTCATGTATTTGTGAAAAAAGAACACCTTGGACATGATGTTATTGCTTGTCATGATAGACTGCCTTCATTTCGTGAAACTCAAAGGTCCGTTGGCTAGGAGAGTATCCAAAGTAAGTGGTTCCTGCACGACCCCATCGATATCGTTTTGATGCTCACTTGAACGAGAATTTAGCCCAGAGTGTTGATTTGAACCCTTGCACCAACAGATAAATACAAAGTAAAAGTGGGGAGGCTTCCTGCAGTTTCATAAACAGTTAAGAGTAGAGCCCACACGCTCTCTACCATCAACACTGCAAAAATTCAACTCATTCCACAATAGTTCGTCGCTACTTCTTCTCCACAATAAATTTTACAACATATCACTCTAAATTATAGATAAACACAAGACAGGAAATGTTACGACTCTAACATTTAAACGTAATGCACAGTATTAAACAGAAGAACAACAAGCACCTCCATTGACAGCATGCATTCTTCAGAACGACAGAGACATTATTCTGAATTTCGTACTTGTACCTGGCCACAATTGTGTTGTTAGCCCACTCTGCAGTGCAAGCAAAACACATAATGTAGATGGTGGGAGTAAATATGCTGAAATCCTGTCCTTCATGTACCTTTTTCGTCGTCGCCTCTCGAACCTGGAGCAGCACATCATGCATGTACATGTTCACAGAGGTATTCACAAACCATGAGCCATACTGTAACTAAACTGGGAAGTTATTCCAGCAGTTTCCAACACTAACAGTTGAAGCGAGCCTAGAGAAAAGTTCCTTGGCGCCAGAAAACCCTGTAGTTTTCTTATGGTGATCAAACCTCTAAAATAACAGGAGAGATAAACATTGATATGACTCTCATTGTGTTTCCCGTCCGCCAATGGAAACAACGATCACAGTATGTGTATTCTGTTTCATTCTACCCTAAATGACAGCTCAAGAACAATCAGGAGAACACGCAGCGCCCATGAATCTTTTTGGACATGTACACGTACATTTGCATGAAGCCTTACCGAATTGATATTGGCCATAAAGATTAGGGTAAAGCCTAGTGCATGGTGAATAGAGCTAATCGGTCAGACCCGGATGTGGATTCGCCAAAGAGTGGTCTATTCCACTGCACGAATTGGGCACCCTGTAAGAAGACCTTAGGGTCTGTTGGGAATACCCAGGTAAAATAATATTAAATACATTTTAAAACTGTATGAAAATTGTTATCCATGTCCTGCCAATTGCGATGATATGAAATCATTTTCCAAATTCATTCGCTTTTTCTGCTTTCTTATCAAGCCGGTGTTATTGTCGA